CATGATTTTGCGAGAAAAAAAAATCATCAATATATCTGAAATTAAAAATGCAAAGCTTTGCGAGATGCGTTTTATAGAACAGTATTGATTCAGCCTTAATAGGATACAAAAACAAGTCAGTCAGTAGTGGTGCACCATCAGTACCCATTGGAATACTGAATGTCTGCTAAATGATCATTCGAAGAAATTCATGTTGTCGATAAACAGTCCAGCATTAAGATTATGTAATCCTCGATGCATTTATTTCTTTCGGAAATGAGTTTAAAGTACGATTTTGCATGACATAAAACAAGAAATGTACATCTTATTTTCGAATTTTTGATAAAAATGCCTTGTTTGTTAAGACGATGTCGTCGTTTTTTTGACTGAGCATGGGATATATTAGAGTGTAAAGCGTAGAAAAATTAAAGATTTTGTAGATTGTTATCTGATTGACACGGCTGGTTGAATATACCTCATAACTATATTTCTTAAGGTCATCTTTTATTTTAGAAAGAATTATGGTTAGAACTTTAGAAAGATGTATTCTGTAGAACATCTGGACGACCCGGCTATATATCAGTCTGTATAAGAATGTTTGTAAAGTTAAGTTTTCCAGTATGAAGATGTGAGATTTTTTTATTTGTGTATAAGAAATCAATATTGTTCAGACTTTGATTGCTGGAATACTAGAATAATTTTCATGAAGATAAGATAAATCATTATCATGCTTGGGCTTGAGAAAACCCATGATAGGGACAGGGGTGAGGGTCAATCTTAAATGAAACGTTTACATTGCTAGATAAAATACCTGAGAAATAGGTTTTTTTTCATTAAAATTTCGAGATGTGTACTTTTATTTTTTTTTCATTCTACTCGTAGTTGATCTCCGTTACCTCAATAAATATGGACAACCATGAATAAAGTTGTGTCTCATTATTTTATATATGTCTAGTATATTAGCAGCTTTTCACTATTTCAAAAATACTTGGTATAAGATTTCTGCTTGTACACGTAGCAGTATGATAATGCAAACAATATATCTTTATAAGTAGATCAAATCCAAAATGTAATCTGGTTATTCTGCAAGAAAAGACGGCTTACTTATATGTAAACGTCAATATAACTTTTTCAGTGACTTAGTTTACATTGCATAGCAGGGCACCACATATGCTATCCATTATTAATTATCCAAGTTCTTACTTTTTGCTAAGTTCCTGAGGTTGCAGGGTATAACCGGATTTTATAGTTATTTATATCTGAAATAATTATTTTGTTTGAATAACCACCTGCTCAAAAACATTATTCTTTGGACGGATATTGCATAAAATTAGAGACTTAAGCCTCTGATTTTATAAGATTAAATATTCTCTTGTAGAACAAAGACCTAAGCGCCTCTTATTGATTTCATTGAATTGCATAAGTCTGCACCACTAACTTATTCATATAAATAAAAGAGGGTCTGGAAAGGAGTTTTTTGTATTTTTTGTTTTGTTTTGTCAATTTTACCTCTGTCTTAATTTTGTTTAGCCAATTATTTGCTTAAAATGTTTGCCCCCTCTCCCCTTTCCATATAATCTTTAGTTTAGATATTTTGTCAATTTTACATTTTTTTTATATGTTTTGCTTGCTATCATTCTCTATTCTGTTAATCCCAATTAAGACTCTCATACGTTCCAAAACAATATTGACCGCTGAAAGGATAAATTGGATTGGAATCTAATTATCTGAACATCTGTTATTGGTGAAGTTACACTCTTTTATCAAGCTTTATTAGGTTTGAAGGAACGACAAACAAACATCTAAGTATCTTATTCTGTGTAAATTGATATTGAAATGAATAAGTATAGACATAGTTCACCATCGTTAATACTCAATTCAATTGTATCTGTCTTACAAGCGTCAGATGATTATTTTGATAAGTAATTCTTGTCTCGAGAGTAACTTATTTGACCGGACATAAAAATTTACGATAAAGTTGAAAACAAGACGATACAATATAAAAGAGTAGGGACGATATCCCTTGTCTCTGAAAGATTTCTACTAATTTCGATTTAAATATTTCCTTGATTAATATTTTTGATTTTTTTCTTCAACAATTCAATTATATTTCAGATACTTAAACAAAAGAAATCATTATCACATGGTTACTGTCATGCTAGAAACTTTTATTTTCCTACTTGAAATCACAAAAAAACTGTGTTATTTTGAAATGACAGAAACGTCATTTAGATACAAAACTAAGCATTTTAGTAATTGACTAAATCAATTGCTCGCAGTTAAGCTTAATTTTAGTAGACTTTTAACGATCATTTTCAAGCATGGTTTAATTTGCTTTAAACTAAAACAATGACAGATGAAATAGCTGCAACTCTGAGTGCTGTAATGGTCGGGGAGCTTTAATGTCAGGTTCTCGTTGTATCGAAAGAAACTACGAAGAGTCTTGCTGTTTGAAAAAGATTCCTAAAATAAATACTTAATAGAGTGGTATATGTTTTAATCGTTACGTCTTGTCATTTCAGTTTGATTATTCATGTTAGTTGTAGTCATCCTTAAACTTAAGTGATGATCTTAAATCCTCCTCTTTCAGTTTCATCTGCAATGATTACTTTTTTCTAGCATAAATAACGGTAGTTTGTCCCTTTGCTTACTCTTATTTAGTTTTTTTTTGGGAGAATCTGTTATCCCATATGACAAAAGAGACTTGCTTTTGTTCATATCCTTTTCCTTTTATACACAAAACGTAATATTTACGAACATATCATTAGGCTTTATTGTTGTGTGATCAGTCAACTATATGTAATTTAGACATGTGTTTTATAAATAAATTGACAAAATTAAAGTAGCAAATCATGCGTGAAATATTATCTTGAATTAAATTTCTTTTTATGTATATTACATTCGTAATGTTTGCAAAGGTTTCTTTAGATATGACAATTCAAACGGTATATTAATACTTTTTGTATTTCTGCAACTGTTTAGTTGAAACTTTCACACATACTTTTATTAAGATTTGTGGGCCAATTATTTAATGATCGTGGCATGAGGAAAAACTTTAAAAACAGTTTGCCGATCATATTATTTTTTCCTTGAGGTCCCTGTCCCTAAACAATCGTCACATTGAATGAAATTTATCTGTAATTGATGTGTTCCGTTCTCTAGCGTATAATCTCTACATTTAATTGTTAGCATTTACATGTTTGAAGTCGATCCATTTGTGTCCTGTTTGTCGTATAAAAAATTCAATTTACACAATTCTGGTCTCAGGTGCTTTGAAGGCCATGTTATTGTAAAAATGCATCAATTTACAACTAAGAAGTATATAACTGAATTATCAAACATCAATTCAATCACTCAATTTAATGGATCAGCGTGTTTTATACTAACGGATCTGTTATTGTGTCATATAAAACAAAAAAGACATGATTTGCAAGAGAGCCCAAGAGAATTGGTGCGACTAAACTCTCTTTATTTAAAACGTTTAAGAAAATTCTGAACTCCAGGGCAAATTCAAAATACCGGAAGTCCGTAAAAACAGACAAAATCAAACGTTATCAATCAACGGAACAAGTGAAAAACAACTGCAATATTTTGACTTGGTACAGGCTTTTCCGAAGAAAAGAGAGCCCCAGAGAGTTTGTTGAACTAAATCCTCTCTTAACTGTAACAGTCCAACATCAAATAACACTATTGAATATCATTTGCTTAGTTTTGTAACATTATGTTTGTTAAGTGAAAGATAAAAGAGATTTTTGTCCAAGCGACAGGTAGCTTTTAGGAATAGTCTTCACCAATACTCTTTACACTAAATATGAGGAAAGCAACATATACAATGTTTTGACAATACAAGGAAATGTTATAAAAAATTTAAAAAATATCAAATTAATTTAAAAGCTTTAACTTTACCTAGGGGAAGCTGACGCATGGATAGTCTTAAGATATTTAAGAACTTGGCAATTGTGGTATTCCCATAGCAGTAAGTAAGAAAAGAATTATTTGTTACGGTTTGTGGTATGACAGTTTAGTGGTAATTTTGATATAAACACATCGCACATAAAATCCAATTCAAATCATACATAGGCATCGAAATAGAGTACAGTAATTCCTTCATAATTTTACGACATTTAAACGGGAATATATATGGCAACATCTGATGTTTTGCGATTGGCATGTCGCTGGCAGCAGATGTAACAGTGGTTTTAGCTACACACAAGCGTGCTTTAAATTGTAGGCATTGCACGTATATTATATTGGGATATCCAAATGCACCTCTGGACAGAACATAAGGGTGGCAGTGCGTTAGCGTTACTTTTTATGCAACTGCTATTAATTAACAATGAAGACCTACTGGATATTCTATGAAAAATAATAAGAAGATGTTGTATAATTTTCAATTGAGACATCTCTACTCAGATACCAAATGACATAGAAGTTAACAGCTATGGGTCACCGTACGGTCTTCAACAATGCATGGAAAAATGATTGTATATTTTTTTAGCAAACAAAAGATGGCACCTGTAAAATATCAAATGGGTCAATATCCCTAATGCGCCTAAAATTGAGAACACAACTATAAATAGAATTAAATAAAACTTTATGCAATTATAATGGGACTGTCGGTATAATCAAATTTGTAAAAACGTAAATCACACTTCGAATCCCGAAAAGTTAACTTCCAAACGAGTAATTAAACATATCCAAGTTAAAATTATTAACATAGGAATCGAAAGAATGGCTTCAATTATCGCCTACCTGAAACGAATTGCACATATTGACTTAGATAACATTAATGCTAAATGAGGATAAGCATATTTAAGTTATATGAAAATATTACAAAGAATTTGATATTTTCATATATGTTGTAACTTCAGTTCTTATTAAAATCAAATATGTTTCGGCAGAATCCATGAACGCTTTACTCTAACGACTGGGTTCATATATAGGATTTGGAAACAAGACTACTCTTGGTGGTAAACCGTGTATGTTATCATTGTTTTTATTCCTGACAATTATAAAACAAATGTTGACAATATTTTAATATCTATACATAATATGTTCCAATACTTTGTTAATCAGTTATTGGTGACTGTAAAAAGTCTTTAAGGTGAATATCACTAAACAGCCTGAGATCGATAAGTTTTCTGATTGTTCTTTCGAACAGACAAGATGAGTATTCTTTATGAAGAGACACCATGTTACATTTTAAAGCAACACAAATGATTTCTTCCAGTTTTACTAGATGATTGACGTGATTCTTTTGTATTCCTTGTCGATCTGTCAAAAGAACATAAGATAAATTTATAGATTACGTAATAATTCAGCGAAGAAACAATTTAAACATGATGTAATTTACACTACTTTATTTGGCCTTTTTGACCTTTATTTTATTCGAACGTCACTAATGAGTCTATTAATTTGTAGACGAAACGTACGTCTAGCGTACAAAATTTAATCCCGGTATCTATGAATTCATTTATCTAAAAAATGGGTTTTAGTTGAAGGACAATACTTTCTTGCATTGTCGTAACGTAAATGTATGAGTATTTTTTATATGTTGTCGGAATGTTTATATCAATTATTTCCTATATCATTATCATTACTTTTTGCATATGTAGAAATGTAACATCCTACTTATTACCGAAGATATATCAAAATTGTAAACAACACTTTATAATTTGCATGCGTCAGAAGTTGAAGAGCTATAGGACCAAAAAGGACATAACAAATTACCAAATCTACCTAAGGTCAACTTTGTCACATGATGAGGATCGAGAGAACAGTTAATACGATTTGATTATACAAATCTTTGTCGATTATTGAATTAACTTATTTATATGCAGTTTTCTACTCTTATCTTCGTCAGTTAAACAATAACTGATAGTTTGCAATTCAATCACTTAATAGTTTGTTATATTTTCATCAAATCAAACGGAGGAAGTACTGTTCTATATTTGATGGCAAAAATAGTCATTTGTATTTATAGATGTTTTTGCCACAATGGCTCTGTGTTGAAAGCACCATTACTTTGTTTCATGAGGTAACGAAGGCAACTGTTGTCTATCGTGTCGATAGATACGGACAGACTGCGCTTTGTGGCTCTTGTTATTGTTTGTTTTTATCCAATCAAACTTGAAATAAAGCATACAACGAATACAGTTGAGTCTACCTCATATCTTACATCTATAACTTGACAATAAGGGTCGGTTGATATCAAAAGAGATGATTTCAGCTTCCGAATTGTTAACTTTCTATTTATATGTAATAACATTCCAGCACCGCCTGCATATGGAGTACATATCCAAATTAGTACGATATTCAAGGGCTTGCGTTTCCAATGATGATTTACTTGATAGAGGTTGCTGCTCACAAAGAAGCTCTTAAACCACGAGTGCCAAGTAGTGAAGTAGAAATAATCCCTTCGTGAATTTTACGGACGCCATCACCAGTTGGTTGACCGTTATGGAACATCTGTTTCACCGATGACGACGGATATGTTCCAATAGTCGTAACCACAATCCCGTTCTCCTTTCTCCAAAATGTGACCTACCAAATTAGACTTATCATCGGGTTGTACTTACATGAATAAAGAAAGGCAATAGAGTATACCGCTGTTCAAAAGTTATAAATTGATTGAGAGAAAACAAATCCGGGTTACAAACTAAAACCGAGGGAAACACATCAACTTTAAGAGGAAAACAACAGAACAACAGAAACACTGAAATGCAACAAAATCAAACGCCAACATACATAGAAACAAACTATTTGAGCATGAGCAACAACAACAAATTCCACATTTGGAGCAGTAACTTCTTACCCTTCTGGGGCATCTTCGATCAACCCTGTATTTTGATGAGTTTCGTGTTGCTCAATCTTTAGTGTTTTGTATACTCTTGTTTGTCTTTTGGTCTTTTTCTTTTTTTTTCTGCCATGGCGTTGTCCGATTATTTTCGACTTAAGAGTTTGAATGTCTTTTAGTATCTTTTGCCTCTATTTTTTATCGATATTCATAAAAGCTGCATAAGTTGTGTCCCTTATAAACACGGACAGACTGCGTTTTAGGGATCTTGTAAGTGTTTCTTTTTATCATATTGACCAGCTTCATTCAAGCTTCATCTTAAGGTGTTGTTGTCATTTTAGTGTACCTTTATTATTGTGTCCATACTTCCTCTCTGTATGCCAAATAAAGGCAACAGTAGTATACCGCTATTCGAAATTCATAAATCGATTGAGAAAAAAACAAATCCGGGTTACAAACTAAAACTGAGGGAAACACTTCAAATGTAAGAGAACAACGACACAACAGAAACTCAACACTAAAATGCAACACACACAGAAACGAACTATAATATAACAATGGCCATTTTCCTGACTTGGTACAGGACTTTTTAAGAAAAAATGGTGGGTTGAACCTGGTTTTGTGGCTAGCGGAACCTCCCGCTTTTATGGCAATGTTAAATATAACATTAAAATAACAAGATAACATGACAGGACTACAATACAAATAAATGGGAGAACATACAGGACAGACACACACACACATAATAGCTATCAAAAGGTACCAGGCTTATCACTTAATACGCCAGACGCGCGTTTCGTCTACATAAGACCAAGAAAGGCTTTGTATAAAGAGATTTTCTCGTTCTGGTAAAAATGATTATTATTCCATTTACATCTTCCTTTTTATTAAAAATTAAATGATTAACAGTTTCACTGACGTATACCTCAATATATATTTACGTATACCTCAATATTTCCTGACGTATACCTCAATATCTCCTGACATATAACTAAAATTCTCCTGACGTATACCTCAATACCTCCTTTATTGTATTTGTATCACACAATTTGATACCCTAATTGCAATTAGGGTATATGTTGAGATCTGCACATTTACAATCATTTTATAGAATCAAAAAGAGTTAATACTGCTGTGCTAACATCCATTTTACCTTTTGTTTTCTTTTTGATCGGGGAATGAGGTCCACGTTACATTGATATATATATGAATGATGTCACATAGTATTAGCCTTTATGATCAGACTGATTTCATGATAACCCGATTAGACGGTACACGTTGATATAAAGAATAATAAAAGAGGATAATAATTTAAACATACCTGGAGATAGCAAAACCATTGCTGCTAAAAGACTTATTTCTTGATCTGTTAAATTTAGTAATTTAAAGGAAACAGTAGACCTGTAAATATTAGAAATCAGATGTCCTATTTCTCCTCCATGAATTGAAAAATTCCTCATAGATGTATCAAGTTTGTATATTTCCCAGAATATGTCTGATTTACGTACAGAATACCAATATGTATAGTAAATCACGGCCATTTCCAACAAGCATTGTCTGATTTGAATTTTTCTAAAATCATCTGGAAGTTGTCCAAAAGTGCGAATGCAATTGGAAAAGTCGACAATGAAGATAACAAGATTCGTTATGAATTGGGAATATAAGTTCCGTAAGCTACTATCTGTTATTTGCTCTTGATTCTGTAATCATACAAATTGAATTGTTTTTTTTTATTCTCAAAAGCAGAACAGATCATAAAACAAAATATTAGTACAAATTATTGTATACATTGCGACCACTCATTTTATTTGAGCTTGTAGTTTTAATTATGTGCGTTCTTTGTTACACAAATGTTAAGTAAATTAACAAAATTAATTGGACACTCATGACTGTCCAGTCTTTGTTTTATAAAGAGACGAAAGCAGAAAGTGTTTTGCATTATATGAATGTGTATGCTGTTCTTGTATTGATCAATAAATCATTCGTACTTAGAGTGGGTAATATGCTCTGAAGTGTAAATTCTGTGTTAAATTTCGGGTGTAATTTAGCATCAAGTAAATCTACCCGATGCATGCCATAAACAATTATTGGACATTTGTTGTATGGGAGACCATTAATACAAAACATTGGTCCATACATTAATTCTTGTAACTAGTAATGACTTTCGCGACAATAACTTTGATGAAGACATTATCAAAGGAATCGAAAGGACAGTAGCTATTTGAGTTAATATGATGGATATCTTTTTAATAAATTGTGTCTACGACTTTCCAGTTCGAAGAATTTAATTTGCACAAGTTTATATTGCATCTTTATAGGCAAGTTTAGTATAGAGCTTTTTAAGGTTTATCATTCTCGTTAAAAGGTGACTATATCGACGTAAACTTACTTATGACAATGCAATTTGCACGTTTTTGACAAAAGCCTGAAGTAAAGAAATGGTGCCTTAATTGCTCTCTTTCGTGTATCCTTTGATTAGTCAACAATTGAAAGCCACGGATGTTTGAATAGACGTTATTACTAAAAGACACATTAAATGAATAATCAAATCCACTTACTGTCATTTTGGCCTTAACGAGTTTGGAACTTCATTTACTGAATAATTTCTATTTTAATCAATGGAGCTTTTAAAACAAAGCTTTCAACTTCCTAAGGCAAAGTCGACCTTAGATGAATTTGGCTATTCATTTCATGTCCTGTTTTGCCATTAAGCTCTTCAATTGCTTACGCTCTTTAAAACCTTGGCTTTCAAATATTCGGTTGAGCGTTCTTAATGAAGGTTAGTCCCAAAAAGTGATTTTGACGCATGAAATTTATAAGGGGTTGTTTCCATTTTTTTTTTAAATGTAATAAGATTGTCGAAGTATATATCATCACATTATAATGTGTTTAACAATCTTTGTACTGACATTTAAGTACTAAGTAAACATACCTCAAATTTAGTAATAGTATTTGACCGTTCGACAAATTTCCTGTGAGCCTCCTGAAATCCTACCAAAATGATATTTGATATAATCTTTAATTCTTTGCAGACTGACTTTTGTTTACAGGTAAAATTCCCACAAGCGAGTGTTTTCACGGATAAGTCACATTTCCATATCTTCACAAAGTAAATATCTGAAATGATTTCGAAAACTGCAATTATTTATGCAGTGCTATAATACAATTAAACACATGAGTGACATGATTAATGAGTGAAATATAAACTGTTCTTAAATAAATTGTAGATTGGCATGACAGGTGATGCATGAACTGCAGGAGGTGCTGTGCCTGTCGTCCTATCCGGTTCGTTCCTTTTGGAGTTCATGCGATTTCCACAGTTTTTGTCTGTACCCTTAGTCCGTCTCTTCCTAATAGGTAAACTATTGTCGCTTTGATCTAAAAGATTTATAAGGAATAACTAAACACCACATGAGTTTAACAGTCATCATCACGAATTGGTTAACCGAAATGTCTGTGTTCCAAATCATTTGCAACATTGTCCGCGGTCTTCAATCTGTAGATACCAGTACAGTCGTCTGACCTGTAATTTTACCGAATGTGTCCTATTCCCGATTTTGACATATTGACTGAGTGTGTAATCGCATTAGCCGCCATGGGAATTCACTTTCAATCAAACTGACACATTCGGTAAGAGAACACGAAACAAGTTATTTGCGGAATCATTTTTCAGAGACAGGGATAGTTTACTACATCCAGGATGCATCATTCCTAATTCACATGAATTATACGTTAATAATTGTTCGAATTATTTTCTTCATATTACCTGATTGCATTTTATATTTTAGTTTCTTGTGAAGTTTAAATGTCAGACAGATATGAATAACCGAAAAAAGTAAAATAACAAAAAAAACCGATCTCCAAGGAAAATTCAAATCGGAAAGTCCTTTATCAAATGGCAAAATCAAAAGCTCAACACATCATACGAATGAAAAAACAACTTTGATATTCCTGACTTGGTACAGGCATTTCCTTATGTAGAAAATGGTGGATTAAACATGGTTTTATAGCTAGCTAAACCTCTCACTTGCAGTCGCGTGAACAATGTGTGAACAAAACAAACAGACATAATAGGTAAAAAATGTCAAAAATAGGGGTATAGCAGTCAACATTGTGTTATAATCTTAATCACTATAAAAACATACAAATATGTCAACAAAGAAAAAACAAAAGGTCATATAGACAAAGCACATAAGCAAAAATGAATGAAAAGAATACCAAAAAATGACCCCAGCACAACAACACAATGGAGGAGGACAGACAGAGGACAACAAAAGAAAACGAAAACACAAAATATTGATGAAGTATTGCTTCTTTAGAATGTAATATAGACGACTTACCAAAGATTTCAAAATAATTGCCCACCACCTTATTGATATTTGATCTTTTCTGCTTTGCTAAACTGCAAGAATCCTTATTTGCTTTATTTTGATTCGCTCCATTTTCACTGGTTGATGACGATGTCTTGTCTGTATATTTTCGCTTTGTTGAATTGACGAGGTTTTCTGAGTTATAGATTTGATTTAATTTCATTCTGCAAACAACATTAGCGTCATGTTTTGTTTCAGTGTCACATTTACTGCCGCTACGATCATCCTTTTCTACTAAATTAGATTGTTCTACATGTACCCCATCTGTTTCATTTACGAGTTTAGCAAAAAGAGAATTTCTGTTATGTTCTTTTGTTTTCCCTTCCTCGTTATTGAAATTATCGGCTACTAAATTATCGTTAACACAACATTTCTCGACACGATCATGAACACAACCGTTCTGTGCGCTATTGTTAACAAAGATGTAATCAACGCTACTTTCAACACAATCTTTCTGGACATCATCCTGCAAACCATTTGTCTCGACACTTTCGTGCAAACCGCCCTTCTCGACTCTATTATCTGAACAACATGCATCGATAACAATAACATCATCTTTCTTCATATAAATTTTTGTATCAACGAGTTTGCTCGTTGTAGCGTTTCTTATAACATCACAAGAAGCTTTTCTCTTAACATCGTGTTCTACCTTCCTTTCAGTTATAAAATTAAAACATCCCTTTTGGTATATATCCAGGTCGATAACGGTGTCTGTTATATCCCGCTTTTTATGAATTTCGTTTTTACGATTTCCGCTGTTCTCATTTGTAATATCTTCGTATATCCCATCTGTATTCTGAACTATGTCTTTATTTATTTCAGATGTCTCATTCTGGTGATCTCCGAATGACTCTCGAGATATGGCAATTGAATCTAAGGTTTGAGCACAATTCATATTGTGTTCATTATGCATTCCACACTTGACTTCAGTTTTTGTAACCATTTTATCCTTAACCGCAGAGTCAAGTTTTTTTGTAACCATTTCATCCTTAAACGCAGAGTCAGGAAGTCCATATATACCTTTTAGAACAGATCTGTCAAAGTTTCCTCTATCTTTTCGGTCAGATAAATTCTCCTTAAACTTGGGAATTTGCTCTGGATCTTGTGATTGCTCATCATTTTTCAAACCCTCTGACAGACGTCGGTGTGCTAATTTGTTCCTCTTAGTAACATCACAATCAATTAAACAATCGTTATATAATGATTGAAATGTCAGTAGTTCGTCGGAATTTAGAAGGCAAGTTTCCATTTCACTTGTCGCAGACTTTTGATCTGATGCTAATACTTTAAGTTTTGAATTATTCTGTGTGAAATTATCCATTATTGACGTTTTACCAAATTCTTCATCTGAGTTTGTTATTTTATTGTTTATTGTCGTGGGTTTGGGCACCAGTTGATCAGATTTTGAATCATTGTTTGATAGTTCATTGATAGATGACGATTGATTGGTCACCATTTGAACAGATTCTGACTCATTACTTGACCATTCGTCGATCAGAGGCGTTTGGTTGATGGTTATTTCTTTCGATTCTGGGACATCTATTCCCATTTCGTCATAAAATGCTGACGATACTAAATTTAGAAGCATATCATGAACAGTTTCGTCCTTTTTTGGCATATATGACTTGTGTGATTTAGCATTAGAAAAGCGATCGATGCTTTTCGGAATATGTCGGGTGTTTTCCTTGCCATCATCGGTACATTCTTTCATATATGATTGTTGATACAGGTCAAACTCGATATCATCAAAGACGTATTCATATTTGTCGTTGATTTCCATTATTAATTGTCCTGTCAAAAAAAAGTATACACCATACAAGAGTAATTCCAATACTATTAAGATAGAAATGTAACAAAATATAATTAACATTGAATCTTTATAGCATAAAAAGGTTTAATAGCCTTGGTTACTTATGTAGCATTATATTCAACCATGGAAGTATTATATTGTCAATATAGCCCCCAAGGGTTATTGGGGAATAGCAATATGGTCACTTGTTCGTCTTCCGACCTGCAGTAAAACGCTTGCCAAATTGGGGCATTCGTTTGGCTGTGCGGGATGTATCAAGTTTGCAGCCACGTCCGGTCAGAATGAGGACGTTAAATCCGATGCCTCGTGTAAAGAGAGTGCCACGCTCTTTGCACGTTCAGATCCCTTGTAACAACTCTTTGAGGGGTCTGTAGGAGGCCTTTTGCAAGGCCAACTTCTGTCCCTATCCAATATACCCTCATTTTCCAGTGGCAGTCCACTTTTCCCAGACCATCATCCAGGATGGCCTCTATTACAAGAACTACCTATTGTATTTATTGTTAACTTTTTCTCGTCCTGAACATGCATGAAATATTCGCCACTGGACGTTAAGAAACCAACATTCAATCAATCAATATTATCAATATAATACTTCCATGATTCAGCTAAAGAACAACTAGAGTCATTAATGAGTAGACGGAACGTCTAATGTACCAAATCACAAGCCTGGTATACCTTGATGAGTGATTGTATCATTGATATAAAATTAAACATGTCATTGCAGAAATGAAAACTTTGCTTTCTAGGTGCTTAGATGTAACGATGCACTTTGAAGTCCATAGAATTATAATTGGATATAATCGAAACCACGATAAATACCGTATAAAACTATTAGAATTTTCATTATGTTCGCATGGAATTTACTATCCTACATATTTTTAAGACAGATGTGAATAATCTAATGAAAACAAGAAATGATTGTAACAGGATGCCGTTACGAAGTCTCCCAAACGAAGCTCCCATAATTCGTAATTCCAAGGGTTGCCTGACATTGGGCAAAGTCCAGGGAAAATTGGTTTGGTCCAGTAAAGTTATATGCATTAGTGATGCCTGGGAACTAACCCTGTATATCATTCAAATCATCTTGGCATGACAAACCAGAATATATATGGTTTAGGGGTGGGGATCTCGACCATTTAAAACATACTAGAACATTGGGGGTGGGGAGAACCCCTAGGGACTGACCCTATACATCATTCAAATGTTCGAGACATGACAAACAGGAATATATATGGTTTAGGGGTGGGAATCTCGACCATTTACAAGATATAAGAACATTGGGGGTGGGGGAACCCCTGGGGACAGACCCTTTATGTCATTCAAATGTTCGAGACATGACGAACAGGAATATATATGGTTAAGGGGTAGGGATCTCAACCATTTACAAGATATTATAACTTTCTCAAATGGCAGGGGGTCGGGATGACCCCTTGGGACTAACCCTGTATATCATTCAAACCATCTGCGCATGACAAACCAGAATATATATGGTTTAGGGGTGGGGATCTTTACCACTTACAAGATATTAGAACTTTCTTAAATGGCAAGGGGTGGGGGTGACCCCTTGGGACTAACCCTGTATTTCATTTTATGTGCTTTATCATGACAAACCAGAATATTTATGGTTTAGGGGTGGGGATCTCGACAATTTACAAGATATTAGAACTTTCTCAAATGGCAGGGGGTCGGGATGATCCCTAGGGACTAACCCTTTGTCCCTCAAAGTACCCCTTTATAAACCCCATTGCACAAACAAAACCCTGATTGCACCACTAGACATGTTATTCTAACATATTGTGAAACCCTAAGTTAATCTGAAAAGCGGTTTTGGAGAACGGGTGCGGACAAGTTCAAATTTAAAAGTGGCATGAGAGGAAGTGGAAGAGGAAGAAGAATAATAATAAGAAGAAGAACTGAGCAAAAACAATAAGTCTTTCCAAACTTCGTTTGGGAGACTTAATAACCACTAAATCAAGCAAAAAGCACTTATTTGTACTGAATAATAGTGATCGTTTGTCTCAAATACTGTTATTACTGATAATGGTTATATATGTTTATTTCTACTACTAAGTAGTTATGACCATGCATTTACTGAAAACAAGAAGCAATCCTTCGAATTAGTTGACCGTTTACTCCTTTATCAGTACATTTACGAACAAATATTACATTGGAAAGTATGCATATATTTATTAGACGTGTAAGGAAAGGGGTTTAAATACTGCGCTGATGTTAAATACCAATACCGATACAAGATTTAAGTGTTGACTTTCTCAAAATGCAATTGCACTGAAAAGTATCCCGGCGTAGTATAGTTTAGCTTTGTGGTGTGTTTGATACACCATGAAGCGAACAGTTAACGTCGACTCCAAATTTAAAGACGTACATTGACCTTACGTAGATCTTCATACATTCATACATTAATTTGTATTTGTTTGATCTAAGAGTGCAAAACAAAACTTAACAAAAATATATGTAAGAGTCAAGAATGGGAATGACGGATTTTACGGCCACAAGTCCAAATATATATATTAAGCGATATGATTAGAATATGTTTAATAGTTAAATAACTCAGTTTGTCTCTCCACATTATGTCCTATTTCCGTTGCAAAATATAGTTAGCATGCATTTTGTGGCCAGGGAAACAGGGACGCGCATATATGTGTGGTTTAAACAAATCAGTACTAATCTGAACTCATCGTTATATCTATATATAAAAAATAAAATCAAAAGTGGACACAAGTGGATACAGTGCTATTTCTATATAAAACTTTAAGAAGCAGGGGGCTACAGTAGAAGGTTGTCTTGCTGCGCATCGTTTTAATGTTCAGGAAAACCACTTTCCATGAGCTATATGTGACTCGTATTGTCTACAACTTTCTGGGTATGAATGCAATGAATGGACAGAGGGACGAAAGAACGGACGGATGGACCAATTCACCCATCACTATATACCGTCCAATTTAGAAAGCGAAGTGTATAGTGAATCTAAGGCAAAACAAAATGAAGCAAATCGAAAATAAAAAAAATGCCCGACATATAGTTTAGCAGACTTTGTTTTGAAAGAGGTGAAAATGAATATTCCATTTTCAAAATAACCTCCTGACCCAAAGATACTAACATTAACTTCTCCATATGCAAGTTTAACGCCACTTTCAACAATATCTCAATTCAATCGTGGTGTTCTGTTTTGTTGGTGGAGGAAGCCGTGGTAACAAGAAAAAAAAACAACTTCCGACCCTTCACCGAAACGTAAATTTAACATGCTTGGTAATGTCCAAACGTTGTAATCTTTTAATACTTAATTCGATAACCTCTCTTTTCCGAAAAACTAACTGATAAAAGTTGATAGAAGGGAAATGTCAGGGCAAAATTTGTTATGTGAACAAGAATTAATTCATTTAACATTATATAGAATTGTCAGTGACCTTTCTAGATGAAATAAAAATATAAAGATAATCAAATTGAAAACGCTTTTGTTTCAGTCTTTTTTTTTAATTGTCAAGTACACACATTTCTAGTTTGGTTTATTTTTAGAATTTTACGCTACTGTGTAACACATTTCTCTATTCTAGAAAATGATATAAAATAAGGAGATGCGGTATGATTGCCAAAATAGACAACTATCTACCAGAGACCAAATGACGTAAATGTTTGCAACTATAGATCACCGTATGACAGACCCCTAACACGGGGCAAAACCATTCCCGCATATAAAAGCTAAGAAAGGCCCCGACATGACAATTATTTTTTAAATAAATTTCAAATAAAAAAACGTTTTGAACAAGATTGATGTAGAGTAAAAAATCGGATTCGAATGTGATTTGATTCCTGTGTTTTTTTCTATTCGTTTATTTTGATCACTTTGTAGATTTTCCTTGTGGTCGTTCAACAACATAGTAAAAAATGGGGGAACAACGATCTTAAACTTAATCGATCCCTACTATGACACAATACAAGAATAATGTTCGTGTTGTTTTGCTGGATCCTCGTCCGTGTATTGCGGAATAAATTGTTATTATTTTATTGTTTAAAAATCATCTCCGCAGTATCCAAACCCATACAGGTAACTATAATGAATGATTATCTGTGCTTTTTGAGATGGTCCCCACTATAGCCTGTAGGGGTATTGGTATTTAACATCAGCGTCAAAATCGTATTGACTTTCCTAACACGTCTATTATATATACAAGTAGTATTGAAGGTATCTTATGGACAATGATTAGTGTGTGTGTTTAGTATTTATCACGTGACCTGTCAATATCATTATATCGAACAGGGAAGATACATTTGTAATTTAAATGATAAAATAGGGCATGCTTGGTAAGTTTCTTTCCTTACGCAAAAAGAACGTTTAGAACCATGGTTAAGTGGAGATGATTCAAATAAAGAAAATATTTATTTTCATAACGAAGAAAAAAATTATTTTCATAACGAAGAAAAAAATTATTAACAAAAATACCGAACTTCAAGGTAAATTAAAAAAAACAGGAAAATCCATAAAACCGAACTAAATCAAATGTATGATCAAATACAATGTTCAAGGAGTGTAGAGTATTGAATTGAAATATATATACAATTTAATGTACTGTGATTTTTTTTTTCAGTTTATAATTCTCTTGGTAAATTGGATATACAAGTTAAAAAGGGATCCCTATGTCATTTGTTTTCTTGACTGCAGAGGGTTTCTTATAATATAAATAAGAAGATGTGGTATGAGTGCCATTGAGACAACTATCCATCCATGTGAAAATGTGTAAAAAGTAAACAGTTATAGGCCAAAGCACGGCCTTCAACACGGAGCCTTGGCTCACACCGAACAGCAAGCTATAAAGGGCCCCAAAAGACTAGTGTAAAACAATTCAACGGTCTAATATATATAAAAAAAAACGCGAAACACTTATGAACCACACCAACAAACGACAGCCACTGAACAAAAGGCTCCTGACTTAGAACATAAAAAAGCGGGTTTAAACGTTAAGTCCAGATTATTTACTAAAAATAATTCATATCGAAAATTTGTCCGCTTTTATCAATAAGAAATGTTTTAAAAGTTATGTAAGATAAGGCATACTATTTAATGATTTTGATTATATGGTAGGGTTGTTTACATACAATCAAATGACAAAAAGACACCAAAGAGACAATTATAAACCATAAATCAAAGGACGAAAGACATCGTAATAAATACAGATAGACCAAGAACCTAGAATATTCTGAAGTACATTTTACTAATAAAACCAGATAGACCAAGAACCAAGAATATTCTGAAGTACATTTTACTAATAAACCCAGATAGACCAAGAACCAAGAATATTCTGAAGTACATTTTACTAATAAACCCAGATAGACCAAGAACCAAAATATTCTCAAGTACATTTTACTAATAAACCCAGATATACCAAGAACCAATAATATTCTCAAGTACATTTTACTAGAGGTTTGGCTAGCCATAAAACCAGGTTCAACCCACCGTTTTGTCTTAAAATGTCCTGTACCAAGTCAGGAATATGGCAGTTGTTATCAAATAGTCCGATTTTATGTATGTTGGCGTTTGTTTTTGTAGCAGTTCAGTGTTTCTGTTGTTCCGTTTTGTTTCCTCTTTTAGTTGATGTGTTTCCCTCGGTTTTGGTTTGTGACCAGGATTGGTTTCAGTTAATCGATTTATGACTATTGAAAAGCGGTATACTACTGTTGCCTTTATTTACTAAGGAAAAGTTAGTAGTATTAAATACCCTTCAACTTCCTATTTGATTTAGACTTCCGAATATTGTGATTTGAGCGGCACTGGCGAGTCTTAAAAAGATGAGACAAGCATTTTAGCGTACTAAATAAACTCATCATAGATACCAGCATTACATTTTGTATTTACGCCAGATGCGCGTTTCGTCTACAAAAGACTCATCAGTGACGTTCGAATCCAAAAAAGTTATAAAGGCCAAATAAAGTACGAAATTGAAGAGCATTGAGGACCAAAATTCCTAAAAGTTTTGCCAAATACCGCTAAGGTACTAGTAATCATACGTCTGATATCTTTGGTGAATTGTTTAATGATACAGGACGTTAGTTTAACATGTTTAACAGTGAAATTTCCAATTATTGGCAGACAACCCTTGACCAAACACTTCCAAATCATCAATGTCCGACATAAAAGACATTATGATGTGTAGTCATTATATATTACTAGAAATGTCTCGTCAGTAGTTGGTCAGTGTATGAAATAAATAAAACATAGACTGTTTTATGTCAGAATAAATGAATAAAAGTGTTCGGAGGTATATGCCAATGAGATATATAACAAAAAATAAGGTCTTCAATAAGAGACCGGTGTCATATGTTGTACTTTGCAAAATTTGGCACATATTCCTTCAACTAAACTCATCATAGATACATTTTGTACCAGAATTGAAATTTTGTACGCTAGACGCGCGTTTCGTCTACAAAAGACTCAACGCTCGAATCAAATGCATTTCTTGTTATATTGATCCTGATCTTTTAAACTGCAAAATATTGACTAAGATACTTCATATCATATTCTGAAGGATGATATGCTATCCAAATTACAAGTATACTGTCCATAATGTTCTTACATTGTATGTCAACTGTGTTTGGCAGCATACTGTTATCTTTCGTCGTGTGAATCTTATAATGATGTATCTCCCATTAATAGTGGTACAAATTAAAATTAAAGTTAAAAAGCTCGATATCTTAAATAATTGACTGAGAAATCAAACTGTTATATGGCAATCGAATTTACATACATGAAGAGTAACTCATCGTTCGATTTTTTTAAGAGACAAACATCCCCTTTTTGAAGAACATTTAACTACAAACAATGTAGTACTAGAAATTTATCCCTATACTTCCATTGGAGATAGACCATGGATTTTTTTAACTTTGTTATATCCCCAATTCTGTTCTGCTGGATTTGCGAAGAATTGCTCATAGATTGAGTAAAAACCATGCAAACTATTTTATCATAGTACTACTAAGATAATTTTGATAACAATCTAATTGGAGTGTAGAGATAGAACAGTGTAGTTTTGACAAAAACTCGTAGCGTGTAGAAATCTTGTATAATAGTTGTATGGGGAGATAGACCATTGCACTTGGATCTCAAATATATGGCTATCTCCATTTTTATCAAAAGTGGACATATAACCATATTTGATTCACACGACGCTTTTTATGTATTATCAAAATCAGAAAACAGTCTTACATCGAAATAACAATCGTTTTACCTTCAATTTTTTTTTGTATTAAAAATATATAATAAAAAAAACATTCATTTACAAAAATAATTCAGAAATGTTTTTCAATTCTATTGAAAACCTGTGCAGCAAAATCAAACAAAGAGTCAGCCACAAAGAAAAATCTATTTGTCGATGTTGTTAATCTTTTAGTTAACATATTTCAAAAATCATGATTCGAACTTAACATTGAAAAAAATGTTTTCTATTTACGTCCGACAAGCAAAATATTAAATTAATTTCACATTACAGTAAGTGTATTGAAAACAAGTGGATCATGATATAAATATCAACCATACCTTTTACTTAGTCTTCCTTATATAACACGTCTCATTAGTCTGAAGGATTTATCTAAAATCAAATGTAATTCTGTCTATAAAATATTATACACCTTGTTATACATACCAAAACTTTTAACATGCATGTCTCGTGATTATTCGTGCATTAATTAGAAGTTGAGGAAATACACCTACGTTTAAAAAAAAGGTGAAAATAAAAGTGCATTTTGCAATTGTATCCTCAATCAAGCTATGAAGTAGTTTTAAATGAGATTTAAATAATATTTTTTTTATGAGAAAATTACGTATTTTGATAGGAATTGCATTATTCTCATTGACATTTTTATAGTATCAAATTGCCATACATAACAACATTTATTTAATCACAAGAGACCGGTGTCATATGTTGTACCTTGCAAGATTTGGCATGAATTTACATACATGAAGAGTAACTCATCGTTCGATTGTTTTTTTTAAGAGACAAGCAACTTAGATAAATAAAGCATCCCCTTTTTTGAAGAACATTTAACTACAAACAATGTAGTACTAGAAATTCATCCCTATACTTCCATTGGAGATAGACCATGGATTTTTTTTAACTTTGTTATATCCCCAATTCTGTTCTGCTGGATTTGCGAAGAATTGCTCATAGATTGAGTACAAACCATGCAAACTATTTAATCATAGTACTACTATTTTGATAACAATCCAATGGGAGTGTAGAGACAGAACAGTGTTGTTTTGACAAAAACTCGTAGCGTAATTCTGTTTACGCAGTCTTCTTGTTTGCTTATATGTCATACAGAAAAATGCACTATACTTTATCTCAACATAAATGATATAGTGTTAAGAATACTAAATATACCATAATAGGTCATACTTTTGCGATATTAACTTGAAAAGACTTTTTATGAATGGTTCTCGTTGTCATCTCCTAAGCTTTTTTAGACAAGTAATGGCATATCTATCTCCTGTCGTCAGTCTATTGTTGTCTTTAAATTAGAGACAACTGCTCTGATAATTTGAAAAGCATCCAAAAGGAGCGATACCGTAACCTTTCGGACATTTTTGTCGGTTGCGATTAAATTTGTACCTAATTGGTCTGTGGGTTAGATTAGTGACCATCATCCTAGAAATGTTAAAAAATATTCGAAAGTTGCTGTATATGTATTTTAAATTCAGTAACAGAAAGTATCGTAAACCACTGCATTTTATTATACATTTTCATAATAAAGTGATTTCTTTGCATTCAACTACATGTATGTGTTTTTTCGTCAAACAAATATCGAATCAGAATTTGAATTGTTAGTTGTAACAGTAATTTGCCGTTTCAGAATCAAATGCAATATGAGTAATTTTATTGTTCGTACCCCAAAATGAAAATAACTTCAGGCCTTTGGTTGATTTGTACCCCAAAACGAAAATAACTTCAGGCCATTGGTTGATTCGTACCCCAAAACGAAAATAACTTCAGGCCATTGGTTGGTTCGTATCCCAAAACGAAAAAAACTTCAGGCCATTGGTTGATTCGTACCCCAAATGAAAATAACTTCAGGCCATTGGTTGATTCGTACCCCAAAACGAAAATAACTTCAGGCCATTGGTTGATTCGTACCCCAAAATGAAAATTACTTCAGGCCATTGGTTGATTCGTACACCAAAATGAAAATAACTTCAGGCCATTGGTTGAATTTCACGTTATTTTGGTGGCCAACGTCATGGCAAAAAAAACGAAATACGACAAAAGACTGAGCAACACGAGCCCCACCAAAATCGGGCGTGATCTCAGGTTTTCTGGAAGGGTCAGCAGGTCATACTTCACATATGACACCCGTAGTTAAGATTACTGTTTGAGATATTACTCTAACGAGGATGATACACAGGTGTTTACTTTGCTGCAAATTCCGTAATCCCCAAACCTTTCGCAAATTAACAGAAAATCATTCTTAATTTAATGTTCTTAAAAACAGCGTTCTCTCTTCCATTTTGTTTTACTGAAATTAAGCCATCTTATAAAAGCAAGTATTTCCTTAAGGAAGCTCTTTTATCTTGAGTTCCAATAAAGTGACAATCATTGCATGTGAAAGCAACACCTTATGGTGTCTTGTACTGAAAAAAATCAACATGTCTTTAATTGCATATAAGAACGAACGTGTTCCCCGAACTTCGGATGTACCGAAACAGGTACTTTAGATCTGACAAACAGGAAAAATGTACCCTCCTTTTTAAATTTCATGCATTTGTTTTATTACTGAAAGTTATAAGTCAAACAGTGTTCTACAATGATTACCAGTCATTCAGCTTTCAAATACCGAAAATACCAACATTACCAAAATATTCTACATATTTTGAAGGTTACACCCATGTGTAGGAACTATTTTGTGTTAAATATGTACTACTTTCTGGTATGTGCTTTCTGATCGGGTCGGTATAGTGGTGATACACCTTAAATGCAGTTTTTCTTAGAAACACTTTGTTTGAAATAACATCGTTGTCAATTTTTCTAACAACTACAAATTAATAAAGTGCATTTTAAACAACAGATGTTATAAAATCCAGTCATTCAGTGGTGTCACCAAGTTCATGCCGATCCCGTTTTACAATATTTTAAACATAATGACATGAAGTTTAATAAAAATAATACGCGTTTATCAAACATCTTGTATATATGTAGGATAATCTACAATCTGAATAACAAAATTACCATAAAAACATATAAGATATCTATATATATGTATATGGCTTTTAATAATGTACAATCATTGATCAATAGTTATATTAATTCATGTTTAATTGTTATAACAGTAAACATAGAGGCGACAGCACGAACGTTAGAGTTTTTATACAGTAATATGAGAGCAAACTAATTTCTAAAACATAAGGTATAAATTACGTAGGCATCATCGTAAACGAGAGGCGAAAGATACGGAAGGGACATCCAAACTTATTAGTCGAAAATAAACTGACAACGCCATGGCTAAAAAAAGAAAAAGACAAACAGACAAACAATAGTACACTAAACACAACATTACTAGAAACTGGGGGTGATCTCAGGTAAACTGTGTGCTTATTTAAAAAAAAAAAACATTATCCTACAAACTCTGACATGTTTGTCATTTTCAGAAAAAAAAATGTTTGAAAATTCTTTAAATCGTTTTAAGATAGTGTAGTAAACAAGGAATTAATAGTATAACTTAGAATTAATTCTGATTAAAAATACTTCTGTGATATTATAACAATAAATCTATTAATTAATCAGACAAAAGATACAAGGTAGGCATAAATAAATCCTAAGTAAAATATACAGTACCGTAAATAAGCTGTCCGAAAGAAAAAGTAAATATCATGGTCCATAACCCATCATCAAAAACCCAAAACATTGTGCAAATTGAACTCTATCAAAACCCATCGAGATTTGTAAGTTCTACGAGATTTGGCACATTTCCTCCCTTCTTCTAGTGACTTCTGTAGTGAATTTGCTATTCATGAACGCTTCAACCCCAAAACATGAAACCTAAGGATCTAATTAAGATTGAAGACTCTAGTAGCTGTATGAAACTTGACCTAAGAGAATAGCCAAATCAACGTCGGCGTAATCTAATTGAGAAATGTTTGTTAAGTGCATGTTCAAAATTATTTTGAGTGAGATCTAAAATGTATGCTCTTCTTCATTCATACTTAACTATGTCGCGTGGTAATGGCTACCATGAAATATGATTTGTTTAATGTCTTTGTAAAATATGACATTATTAGACGACCATTTCATTACCTGGAGGTAGGATGATTTTTTGTTAATGGCATTTTTCATTTTTACTTATCTATTTCACCTCGCATATTTGCACAGGTTATTTCATTGGGTAAACTATTCATTTTCATTCTATCGAGGGCCTTCGGTTGCCGTGTGGTTTAAGTAGTCAAACCATTTATCAATAATTATATTAATTCATTTTACAATCAGCTAACAAATTGTTACTGTTATAAACAGTCAAAAAAGGGGGAAGATAGACAAGACTGTCAACACTGAGGTTGTGAGTTCGAATCCCGCACGTGGCATGTGTTTTCGACTCCAATCTTAATTGACTAGGATTTTCTGTTTTCTTACTGAATATTGGTGGTTCTCTCAAGGCACTCCGGCTTCCTCCACCAATAAAATTGACCGCCATGAAATAGCGCAAAAGTGCTGAAAGTGGCGTTAAAACACCAATCAATCAATCAATCAATCATCCTATCACAGAGTCTGCGTAATCAACGAGGTGTTGTAACTATATAAAGGTATGCATTCAATGACATCATTCCTCAAAATGCATGAACCACTTGCCACTTGACGTTAAGTAAACAACAATTAATTAACCATGAATGTTTTGATTGATTGAAGGAAAACTATATCGTAACAAAGATATCAAACTCCAAGGTAAATTAAAAGAAAGGGAAAATAAAACACGTCGAATTCAAACACTCGACTATATCAACCAAAACAACGACTGGAAAACAACTGTCATTTTGGTAGCATGATTCAGACATTTCCTAAGAACATGGTTTTATAGCTAGCTAAACCTCCCACTTGTAAAACAGTTACAATGTATATAGTTTGGACTACTGTTAAAATGTCTACATTAATATGGTTAAGTATCAAGCTAGACTACTATTTTTAGATAATGCTCCTAATTTAATCCCCGACCCTTTTATAGCTAGCTAAACCTCCCATTTGACAGTTGTATATAGTTTGAACTACTCTTTAAATGTTTACGCTAACATGGTTAAGTTATCAAGCTTGACGTCTATTTTTAGATGTTGTCACTACTTTTTCCTCCCGACCCTTTTAAATAAATCTGAATGTTGTTAATATATAAATAGTATGTTGGAATTAAAACGTTGCCACTTAGCGGGCTAGACTAGTTTTATTGACTATTATATATAATTAGTATGCATGATATGTTACTATTTAAAAGTATCATAATATTGTACAAAATGTCAATGCAATATTTCGACGCATGACTAATGTTCTTGCATGTGCGACATCAGTTTATATGACATTCACCTCGCGTTAAGAGAGCGGAAACAATCATTTGTCAA